CATCGCCCTGCGAAACGCGAACCTGGCATGACGGAGACGACGCAGCGGCAGGAGACGATGCGGCGACGGGCGGTGGCGAAGCAGCAACAGCAGGAATACGACCACCAACAGATTTAGGCAACACACGGGTTTCTGCATACACGCGAGCATAACGCACAAATCGCTCAATCTGCAGGTGGCCTCTTGTCCTCGAGGCAGATCTTCAAATGGAATTGCAGCTCACGCCCAACATGTTCCCTCATCATGGTCTTGAAATCTGCCACGATATAATCAGCGCCGAGACGTTCACGTCAGATCTTTTTAATGCGCTCACGGATGACAATGGCCACGCCATAGTCATTTACTCCGTCAACCACGCTCGATGAAGCGCGAGATCTCCTCTCCTCCCGCCTGGCCAGCTCAGCCCCGTCACGGGGACTGCGCTTGGCAGACGGCTCAGGAACTGGATACGGCGGTGCACTGAAATTCTCGAAGAATTCAATGAAGAGCGAAACCATCTTGTCAGCCGCGGAATTCGCCATTTCACGGGCCCGATCGGATAAGTGGCAGCAATCATCGCATTCTCTGTTGCAAATACGTTTGGGCCACTCATGTCGACACAGGCGCGCAGAACTGCATTCAATGTCGCACTGCTTCAAGAACTGCTTAAAACCATAACTGACAGCAACGGAGCGACGCCGACCAGAGCGACAGACGGCAAGAAATGCATACAAACTGTGAAGACGTGTTCTTCGCCAAAGATCTCCCCACATACTCAGCGACGCCCACAAATTTTTCAGTCTCAACCGAGATGCGTAAAGAATTCTGGCAATGACCGATACGGCGCGTGCGAGTCGGGTCGTTCAGAGCCCTGGTGCCCACCAACACATAACGCTCATAGTTCGCCATATTCTCATCTGCAGCAACGAGCGCATCCATGATGGCATTGCCGTCGCGCCCCCTGGTAGTCATCTCGTGACTGGAGCGGTGGCGACGGCGGATGTGCTCCGCCAGCATCGTCGGCCCCGAGCACCTCGGGTTGTTCTCGAAGTTCTCCAAGCCCAGCGCGATCACAACAAACTTCGAGCCCTGTGGTGTGGGACGAGCACCAGCACTGGCAACCATGGCAGTGACCCGCACGTCCTCGTCGTCACTGGAGTGATCAACGGGCGCAGGCACACGCGTGATCCCGTCGTCACTGGAGCGATCGACGACAGCGGGCGGCGCGGCGCGGCCGGCGGGAGCTGCGCAGCACGGCCGGTCACTGCTTAGGTACGAAATGCGCAACGGACGAATGGGCTCCGCAACATGTTCCGGGCCAAACTGGCAAAGACGAACGATAGGAAGACCTGAACAAGCACGACGACACGTCTACCTCACCTCAAGATCCTCCACGAGACCGAGGGACGCCTGTGCAGGAAGAGACAACAAGAGAGGAAAACGATCCGAATCTTTCAACTGATTTGACTCGAGACGCCCACCCACGGCAACACGGGAAGCAACGATACGAAACGGAAAACTCTTCTTACCTGTCGTCTCACTCCCTGCCTGTCCTCCCATACCGCTGTACGTCTCACGCTGTCTGTGGACCCATTGCGGATAAAAACTCAATTTCTCGCAGTTGCCCGCTGCGTTACGAGCCCAAGCTCTACCGCGGCAACAAGAATGACAACCCTCGTTTAAGATAACCCAAACACCGTCGTCCTTGAAAACACCAACCGCACGAAGCTCAGAGAGAGCCGAAATTTCGGTCGAAACGTGCCGCGCTGGAGCCATAAAACCGACAAGACTGTGATCTGTGATTTCTGCGACACAGTCGCGGGACAAATAAGTTAGTTCACCTGCACTGCTGTCACCCGTATCATCACAAATCTCAACAGCACGTTTAGTGACAGCCTTTAGTGCAACCTTTAGCTCTATAGAGGCGATGCGAGGATCATCCTCAATAATATACTCAATTGCTTCTGCATGGACGTTGCTGGAGCGCTCAACTTTCTTAGCCGTTGCTTTCTGGTCCTCTGCTCGTTTCCTGGGCCGCTCATCGATATACGTCAGGCAACGACAACAACGCGCACGAACAACATCTGGAGCACTGCCGCGATGGTCCACGAGATCGCGCGGACACTCCCCGGGGAGCGCAGCGCCGTGCACCTCTCCTTCCTGGCCCTGCGCCCGCAATCTTTGCAGGCGCGAACAACGAAACGAGCACTATAACCGACTCCCGAGAGAGTCTCACAACCTCGAGCACAAGGATGAGGCAACAGGGGATTTGGAGGCTTCCTGTTCAGGCCAGAAAGAACTCGAAGAAGGTAGAACTGCGTCACTGGAAACGTTCGGCTCCGAAACTTGCACAAACTGCCCGTCTTCCTTCCGAGTAAATTTGCCATCGACCCATCCTAAGAACAGAACCAAATCCCCACTTGGTTTCTTCACCTTGCGACCCGATCCACGTAATCCGGAGCATCCCTGAGAACGCGACCATAGCTAAGCCCTTTGTGCTGACCCGAAGCAAACACAGCATCCTGCCCAGGAACAGATCGGATCCGAAACAGATTCCTCCTCCTCAAACTCCCCATCAGAAACTAGCCATGGAATAAAATTCGGTCGAGCGAACAGCCATAAACCCAAGAGCATCTCCCTCAGCCTCCGCTGAGGTCTGAAGACTCTTCTCCTGGAGCCCTGGAGGTCCCTGAACTGAAACGGCTTCGGTCATTCCCGTGCAACTCACACAGACACGAGTCTAAACGTGATTGCGCTGCAAGCTACACTGCCCGTCACAAGCCCCCCACACACACACACACACACACACACACACACACACACACACACCACCCCACCCTCATGCACACGTGCCCTGCGGCACGTGACGCGAGAAGAGAAAGAAGAGCAGAAACGAGAAACACCAGGATCCATCCCCATCGACTCCTCCTTGCCCCGAATGCTATGGGGAGGGAATGATACAGATACAGCAACAGAACTGCCGGATGTGAACTTTCGCTCGTCGTCGCCCTCGCGCAACTGGACATGGCGCTCGCCAGTGTCCCCAGCGGACGCTACCATTGCCGCCCTGGGCTTGCCCTCGCATTCAGGGCCCCCGGAACAGCGGCCTGTTCCGCTGCAGGTCTTGCATGTCGAGCGTTTCTTGATCTCCTGGGGCCGCTTCTTGCGATCTTCCAGGGAAGGCCCTCACCTGTCGCCTCCCTCGGGCGACCAGGGCGCGCAGTGGTAGACCTTGTCTCTGCTCTTTCTTTTGCCCTTGCCCCTCCGTTTGGCGCCAGGTTTGGCGACCAGGTCCTCTTGGATCGCGTCAGAAGCTTCTTCCTCCCTGCATCCGGCCTTGACCATCTCGTCGACCACCTCGACGTCGACCTCGCTGCCATCCTCGGCAGGAGCCCAGTGAGCATACGATCCCTTGTCGATGCAGGTGCGTTCGTCGGCGTAGTCGCCCCAGGCCGCATCGCCCCAGCCGTGCTCTGGCGCATAGCCGGACGCGTAGTACTCGTAAGGACTCAGCCCCTCAGGGCAATGCTCCTCCTGCTCGTACGTACCATCATAATCAGCAGTGTAGAAGGCGTGCTGCGGCCTGGAGAAGCGCACCTTGCCCTTGCCCTTGCTCCTGTTCTGGTAGGTGGGTCTGGGCTGTGTCCACGTCGATGAGCTGGAGCCTTTACCTGACTCGCCCTTGCCTTCTCAGCGGATGTGCATGCGTCCGTGCTGGAGGATCAAGACGTCCTTGATATTGTCGAAGGTTGTCACGTTTCCTGCGGGTGTCAACACCATCAGGTTCTCCGAAGACGAGAGGCCTGTATAGTCCAAGAGAAGGGAGCCAAGCACATCGTCGCTCATCCAGATCTCAGGATCAAACTTGGAGACAAGTTTCCACCAGCCCTTCCTTCGGGAGATGTACGAGACCATAGACTCACCGCGCTGCCGACACAATGGTCCATATGGTCTCTGCCCCACCTGGAGCAGGATCTTCGCTTCCTGCGCCTCTATGGGGAAGAGTGAAATACGAATCGCCAGCACCAGCTGGTCGATCCCATTCGGAGTCAAAAGCAAGTCATTACCGATATCCATGGCAATATCGAACGCGTCACCTCTGAGGCCTTCTACAACCTTGCTGACAGCTGCGGTGATCACGTGTTGCTGTGGTGCACCCGTCTCTTGATCCACTGAGGCCAAGGCGGCACTCAAGCGCATCTCTGTGCGGAATTCCCACTCGTGAAAGTTGTTCACCGTGCCGTCGTAGATGTAGGAGCCACTCTTCGTCCCGGACCGCGTCAGCGCGTCGGCGCTCGGCCGATAACGAAGAAAAGAAAATGCCATGGCGCAAGGCTAAGTCCCATATCACGGGAAACTGCCGTACAAAAATTAAAGAGAGGTAGTGCGACACTCTCTGATGAGGCGAGCGCGCAGTGGCACGATACGGGGATCGTGTGGTAGCTCCGTTACCAGTGTGATTATGATGCGTTTTAGCGCAATGGCAAAAAGGGGCCCCGAAAGGTCAAACGGCAGCGAATGGTGCATATACACACGCGACACACACCAACACACACACACACACACAACAACAACAACAACAACAACAACAACAACAACAACAACAACAACAACAACAACAACAACATCCACAACCACAACCACAACAACAACAAAATCAACAACAACAACAAAAACAACAAAAACAACAACAACAACAACAACAACAACAACAACAACAACAACAACAACAACAACAACAACAACAACAACAACCACAACCACAATCACAACCACAACAACAACAGCAACAGCAACAACAATAACAAGAACCAAACGAAACAGCCCGAGAGTCACGAGAGGCTACAGACACGTTCCAGGAGGGCCGCAAGAGGGAGAGCGCATACGGCCGTAAGTTAAGGACCTCAATGCCCCCAGGCCAGCGCCCAAGAGTTTTCGCAAAGCTTCCGGTGACCTGTGGCAGCGGCAGAGGCCAAGGGGTCGGTAGCCGTGGCGTCAGACGAATGCATCAGGGGGGGGTCCTGCCACCCCCGAAGCGGTACCCGATCGCTGGCGGTCACGAAGACGATAAAATCCACCTTCTCTGCCTCAGTGAAGGTGCCGAGCACGTCCCAGAAGAAGGGCAGGTACTCGGCCTCCTGCAACGAGGAGGAGGAGCAGCGGCAGCCGCAGAGGGAGGAGCAGCAGCAGGAGGGCAGGTGGTCGGTCTCCTCCTCCTCGGTCCACCCCTCATACGTGGCACGGCGGCGGATCGCCTCCACGTCGACGGGCACCACACCACCGCAGATGATCCTCTCGAGCTGCACAGCGTCCACCATTCTCCGCAGCAGCGATGAACTGCCAAGGATCTCTTGGAAACCGTGGTTCAATGGGCCGAACTGAGCGGCCACTCTACCGTGGAAGAACCAATCGACGTAAGTGCGCACGAAGTCCATCTTGTTGCTCTGCGACAAAGGCTCGTCGGGGCAACCCGCTCGCTGCCAACCCATCTCTCCATAAACGGTGCCGATGTCGTCGTCCTTGTAGTCTAGAACGTGTCGCAAGGTTCGCGCAATATCCTTGTCTACAGAAGCGACGTCCTCCAGCCAGAGAGGGCGTGCGCAGGGCGAGTTGAGTTCCTGCAGCAGCTTCTCGAAGAGACACCTCGGAAATATATTGGGCACCAAAACATTGTTGAGCACCGCCTGGCCCAACAGAATGCCGCACGCGCGAAAAGCGTCCTCCTTGCCGGCGGAGTCCACGTCGAACCAGTACGTCCGCTGCTGGCCGTCGCAGGAGAAGAGCCGCATCTCGTTGTCCAGAAAGCTCCGGAGGGCCACCTGAAAAAACTCCTTCGTCACGCCGGGCCCCGCACCCTCCTCCCCGGAGAACTGCACCCTCAAAGGCCGCCGCAGCGCGCGCGTGCGCAAACCACAGAGGTCGCTGACGACGCGCTCCAGGAGAGCGTGCGGCTCCCGGGGCACCTCGATCTGGATCGGCACTATGCTGTGGCCGTCCTGGGACAACGCCAACTGACCACCAACACCGATCCAGGCCGGGCCGGTCCTGGGCCCAGGGTCGGTACGGCAGGCTCGCGTCGTGTCGACCCTGGCGTTGGCTCCTGAAATCGCGGGGATCGCTCAAACTTGACCGAGCGGCCGTGTCAGAAACGCCGGATCGTTCAACGACGGGCCGACTCAGGGCCACGGGCGGCCTTCTGCCTTTCACGCCCGCGCTGGGGCCGCCGCCGGTCGACACGGCGCGAACCCACCGTGTGCACTGCTGGCCTGGCCATGAAGACACGCACGCCGATCCAGGGCTCGGGCCTGGGCCTGGCCAGGGCTGGCGCGTGCGGGTGGCGGCGCCCCTCGGTGCCCGGCATGAGGGAGGAGGGGTCGTCGAGGGAAGCGGGTCCTGGACCCTGGCGCCTCCCCCGGGACAGGTAATACATAATACTGTCAAGCCGTAGAATGAGGACGCACGATGAGGATGCAAGGGCCTTGAAGGCCAGGTCGACACTCTGCGAGCGGGGCGCGGCCAGCGAGAGTGGCCAAGGATGGGTCGAAGGGAAAGGATGCAAGGGCGACCTTGGAAAATCGCTCACCCTTGCTATGGGGGTTGACTGTAGCCGATGTCGACGACCCAGGTGCACAGGAAGGACACTTGAGGACCGAAAGAAGCGAAACGAAGCAGGGACCCCCCCCTTCCTCCCGGGTCCCCTGGGGACGGTGTCCTGCTCCAGCTGCTGTTCGATGCTGCTCCACACGTCGTAAAGCAGGCAAATGCGCCGGAAGCCGACAGGCACCAGGTTGCTGTGCGTCAGGAAAGAGCAGAAGTGGCCCTCGGGCCGGAAGCGCTCCACGGCGAGCACGTCTGAGAGGAGAGCCAGGAGGAGGGAGGGGAAGGAGGGGAAGGAGAAGGCCTTGGAGAGGGGGAGGAGGGGGGGAGGGGAGGGGGAGCAGGAGGGGGAGCAGGAGGGGGAGTCTTCCCTCGCAGAGCTCCTGGGACTTTCGCGCTCTGGTGATGCTGCCACCGCTTGAACTCGGAGATCGGCTCACACTTGTTTATGCCCTCCAAGATGAAGCGCTCGTACTCCACCTGGGCAGAAATCGGCAGGCAGATCGGAAAGTATCGAACCCGCCGTCCGCCGCCCCAAGTCGAGTCCTACGCAGAGAAGTCCAAACCAAAGTCGGAATTCGAAGTCGAATCAAGATCAAAGCCAAAATCCTCGAAAGTGAATCCATCCGAATTCACAGGACCGAAATGGCTGCTGCCTTGGGACCGCGGGTGCCCTGCTCGTCGAGCTTGTGGGTCTCACAGGGCAGCGAGTTCGCCGAGTACAAGAACTGCAGCCAGCCCACGGCGTGCCAGAAACGCTCGTCGGACTTTATGTCCTCATGGCAGCGCGCTCATAGGGAATGGGTGTGAGGGAGGCTGCCTTGTAAGAAGGCGAGGGGGGGGGCTTTCAAGACGGCGCCCGGGGCTTCTGAGAACCCCTCCGGGCTTCTGGGAGGCCTTCTCGGGAGCACCCAGGCGCTGACAAGAAGCCCCCGCAGCCTTCCAGAAAGGCTCCCCTCCGCCTTCTCCGAAGGCCACCCCCCTCCGCGCCCCCACCCACCCTCTCGGGCGCGCCGCCCCGTCCTTCACGTCCTGCACGTGCACCACCTTGGCGTTCACCACGTCCACCGCGGCCTGCACCAGCTGCTCGAACATCTCCGTGGACCACTCGAAGGCCAGCTCGCGCGCCAGCGCGCCGCGCGCGGCCGCCGACGTGTGGAGCACGAAGCCGCCGATGCGCTCCACCGTGTCTATCACCCACCTCGGGCGACGCCGACCGGCCACCTCACCAATCGCGGCCGCGCCCATCCCGAGCCCGGGGTCGGCACAGAAGGCAGATTCGTGCCGTGACGACCTCGGCGTTGGCTTCTGACACCTCGTGGATCGGCCAGCCTGCGACGATCGGCGGCTTTTCGGAGCCAGGGCCACCTGCGGCGTTCGACATTGGACGTCTGCGCTGAGGTCGTCGCCGCGTCGACACGACACGAACCTTCCGCACACTCCTGGCCTGGCCAGGAGGCATACACTCACCGATCCTGGGCTCGGGGACGTGCGAGGCGGGGGCTGATCCACATCCACCGCCTGGAGAGCCGGCCGTCCTGGGTCCCCAAGGGGGCGGTGGATATGGATATGGTTGGACCCCAACGGGCCCGAACATGTCCACATCCACCGCCTCCCGAAGTCAAAAAAGAGCGGTTTCCCAGGTGGAGGATACAGCGCGCCAGGATCATCGGGATGCGCGGTAAGGATGCAAGGACCTCGGACACTCAAGTTGAAGTCTTTTCGGCGAAGATGGCCAGCGGTAATCGCTCAGGACGGGCCGAATACGCAAGGATGAAAGGGTGCCCTTGGACAGCTGCTCATCCTTACGACCCTGCTTGACCGTAGGGATGAGCCCCAGCCTCGGAGGATGAGCCTGGCCCAGATCGGCGAGGTGGTCGGCTGGCCACCCCCCGGCACCAAAGCCGCGCGTGCATGCTCTCGCGGTCTGGGTCGCCAGAGCGGGAGAGGCATGCGTCCAGCACCTCCTGGGACTTCTGGTGGCAATCCTTCTCTTTTGCTCAGCAAGGCTTGTTGGAGAAGAAGGAGGACGAGGAAACGGAGGAGGAAGAAGCGAAACGAAGCGAAGCAAAGCGAAGCGAAGCGAACGCCAGAGTCGTTGGCGCTCCTCTGGGGAGCCCGCCCGTGCCGATCAGGGCGTGGCGTGGAGGCCGCGGTCTCAAGAATGTGATATGTAGACGGATTCACGTGGGGGAGGAGGAAACGGAGACGGAGACGGAGAAGGAGAAGGAATCTCTGTGTAGAGCAGAGGTGGAGGAGGAGAGGGACTTCTGGTGGCGGTCCTGGCAGAAGTCTATGTCGCACCCCTCCGAGCAGTGGAAATAGACCCGCTCGTAAATCCGCGTCCCGCAATTGTCGCAGATCTTGTTGGTCTGGAAGCGCGGGCGGCCGGCGCGCGCGAAATCGAACGCCAGCGCCTCCACGGCCTGAGGGGGTCGCAATGGGGGGGCTGGCTCGGGAGGGAGGACCGACCTGGAAGCGGCGGTACGGTGCGTCGACAAAGGGGGGGGGAACTGGCTCGCAACGGATCAGCGACAGGCCCCCCGACGGCGAGACCGCACGTTCCCGGGCTGCATAGGGGGGAGGGGGGCTTCGACTGGCGATGAGTGGGCGATTGGGAGTCCAGACAACAGCGGCTCTCCTGCCCAGCCCTCACACCTCCTCAAAATCCGTCGCTGGATCCCTCTCGGAGTCCCTCCCGACCCGCTCTTCGAGGCGGACCCGGCCGCGGCGAAAGGCAGCCTCCAGAAGACCGAACGAGGACGGCTGCCTCCGCTTGGCGCCCCCGCCCCCCCCCGACGGCCTCCTGCCGCCGCATCTCGTGCGGGTGCGGCATGATGCACACGCCGCTCTGGTCGCAGGGGAGCGCCTCGTGCAGCAGGGGCAGCAGGGCGGCGAGCAGCACCGCCACCCAGGTGCAGTCCTCCCGGCGGCGCGGGCGCGAGGGACGCGGCGCGCGGGGATCGCGGTGCGCGGGGATCGCGGCTCCGGGACCGAGGGCCGCACGCCTTCAAGGCGACCTGCCCGCCTCGGGGGGGGGCTCTCCGGCAGCGGCGCCTCGCCGAGAGCGGGCCGCGTCGTCCTGGGATCTGCCGACGGGGCCTCGAGCTGCGACCCGAGGGCCAGACGCGCGAGGGGAGGGGGGAGGGGGGCGGCCTTCCGAGAAGGCGCGGGGGCGTTCTCGGCAGGCAAGGGCCTCCATGAAGGGCCTGGAGGCTTCCAGCAGGGCTTCTCAGGAGCCTCCACCCCTTCCAGGAAGCCAGCTTGTCCTCTCAGAAACCACCCCCACACACACACCTTCCTCTCAGCGGAAGCCAACACGGCGGGGAACAGCCAAGGGGCGGCCATTACAAGTAAGTCTTTGCCAGGGAGCCTCGTCGAAGACATGGGCGATCGGAGCCCCTGACACATGCAATGAGGTAAAAGTTCCCCTCTGGGCTACCCGCGCCGCTGAGGCAGCCGCCGCTTCTTGGAGGACCACCCCCCTCGCGCCACCACCTCTGCTGGAGGCCTCCCAAATGGGGTCCGGATCGCGCCGCCGATGCATCGGCGACTTGGGCGATGTATCGGCGACGTCGGCGTGGAGAAAATCCGCCGACACCCGCGTGCCCAGGGTGCAAAGGCGTGGGAGACATTTGGTTATCCTCCTCCCCCTGCTGCTTGAGGGGGGGGAGGGGGGGCAAGCTCCTTAACGCATCCCCAGGACCTCCAGAGCCTCTCCGGGGCAGCTAACGAGGTACCCAAGACGGCCCAAGAGTGCTCCCACACGACCGCCAAGAGGGCGCCAAGAAGCGAAAATCGTGCCATTCTAAAGGAAAACGTTCATGTTCAGCATACTCGCGATTGTTGTCTTGACACCGTCGAAGACGGCCCAAGGGGTTCCCAAGATCGTCCCAAGACGGCCACTGAGGCCCCCAAGAGGGCCCCAAGACAGCCCAAGAGGGCCCTGAGACGGCCTCAGGGGCCTCCAAGACGGCCCACGAGCCCCAAGAGGGTCCTGAGAGTGGCCCGCCCAAGAGGGGGAATGCGAACTGATATTTCGAGCCTGTCCCCCCAAGATGGCCCCAAGAGCCCCCAGAAGCACCCGAGACACCCCCAAGGGGCCCCAAGGGGCCTCCAAGACGGCCCCAAGAAGTCCCCAAGAGGTCTCCAAGAGGCCCAAACGGCCTCCCAGATGTACCCAAGAGCCCTAAGAGAGCCTCATATTCATCCAAGAGGCTCCTGACCCACAGCCCAGGCTTGGGCCGAAGGCCACTAGATACTTTCCACGATCGTCGCAAACTCTCACTCGTTCTGGAGGTCGTCGGAACGGCGTAATCAACTTGAACGGGGTTCCACATCGAGCCGCATCGCCGATGCATCGGCGATGCGGCGCGACTCTCCGACCCCATCTGCTCGGACCCCATCAGGGAGGCCTAGAGCCACCACCTCTGCGCGTGCCGCCGAAGTCCTCCGGCGGCGCCAACGCTCGCTCCGTCGGCGGCGCCCTGCCAGCACCGGCTTCGGGCGCGGGGGCCGCCCTCTTCAGCGGCAGCGCTGGGGCGGAGCTGCTCGACGCGTCGCCCACGGGCGCCAGGCCACCACGGACTGCCGCTGGGGCGCTGGCCCAGGGCCGCTTGGGGAGCCAGGCTGCCGCAGGCCCCAGCTCGACTTGCCGTACTCCACCTCCCTCCTCCTCCTCCTCCTCCTCGCCTCCTCCCTCCTCCTCCTCCTCCTCCTCTCCTCCCTCCTCCTCCTCCTCTCCTCCTCCTCTCCTCCTCCTCCCTCCTCCTCACTCCTCCTCCTCCTCCTCCTCCTCCTCCTCCCCTCTCTCCTCCTCCTCCTCCTCCTCCTCCTCCTCCTCTCCTCCTCCTCTCCTCCTCCTCCTCCTCCTCCTCTCCTCCTCCTCCTCCTCCTCTCCCTCCCTCCTCCTCCTCCTCCTCCTCCTCCTCCTCCTCCTCCTCCTCTCCTCCTCCTCCTCCTCCTCCTCCTCCTCCTCCTCCTCCTCCTCCTCCTCCTCCTCCTCACTCCTCCTCGTCCTCCTCCTCCATTCCTTTTCCTTATAAATAACTTCTCCCTGTCGCACCCCGTGACTCTGAAGCTTACACAGTGGCAACAGTTTCACAAATGGACGGCGGGTCGTGTTCAAAATGTGGTTCTAGCCTCAGCGCGGCGCACATTCGTTTCAAAAATGCAAGAGTTTCACGGATTGAGGGCGGTCCCTTTTCAAAATGTGGCTCCAGCCTCCGCGCGGCGCACATTCGTTTTAAAAATGCAAGAGTTTCACGGATTGAGGGCGGTCCCTTTTCAAAATGTGGCTCCAGCCTCAGCGCGGCGCACATTCGTTTAAAAAAATGCAAGAGTTTCACGGATTGAGGGCGGTCCCTTTTCAAAATGTAGCTCTCGCCTTAGCGCCGTGCACATTCGCTTACAATATTTGCGAGGGCCTCACGGATTCCTATCATCAACGTACCAAAAATATTGTTTGGGAAAGATTCAAGATTATGCGGGTGTAACAGTCACATTGATTCTCTGTGCTGAAGTCCTAGGAATGGCGTTCTGGCATGATTCAGGATCGCGAAGACACAACAGTCAGGTTGATCCGTGGCGTTGGAATCCCGAGACCACTTTTTGACATATTTCAGGGTCTTCAAACGAGCGTCTTCCCACGAGGCAGTTCCATCAATCGACATGAACCGTTGTAGGGGCAAATGAAGATGGAGCTTGGAGGGAGGGTTTGCTCCAAAATCGTTGATGACTCTTGGGATTACACTGGACCTCCTCCTCCTCCTCCTCCTCCTCCTCCTCCTCCTCCTGCTCCTCCTCCTTAATCCCCACCTTGGCCCAGGCTCGGTGCAGACGTCTGCGTGGATCAGCCCAGGCGGCGTGTACACCGACCTCGGGCCCGAGGCGGGCCTGTCGGAAGGAATGGTGTCGGTGCGTAGCTGTGGCCGTCTCCAGGTGGCGACATCCGAACCCTACCCCCACCAACCATAGATTCTCTTGAATCGATGAGGGGCGGGGGTAGGGTTTGGATTTCGCAACGTGTTCGACGAATTCCGAAACCTAGCCCCACCGCCCATCGGGTTACCTAAGTCGTTGATCGGCGAGTGTAGGCTTCGGATTTCGCCGCCGAGTCTGGCCTGGGACGCGCCAAGGCCGAAGCGACCGAGGAGCTCGTGGCTTCGCCAGAGACCGGGGCCACGGACCCGCACCGCGGCGCGTCGCACACCGTGCCGCCCTCGGCATCGCTCCCGCACGCTACGAGAGCAACGTCGGCGGAGGCCCCGCTGCCCTGTCCGGCGTCGTCGTCCCCCTCGTCCTCCGAGACGCAGAGGTAGCCGGGCGGCTCGGGCAGCACTCTCAGGGCGACGCCCCGGAGCTCCCGGGCCACCTGTTGGAACCACCTGAGCGACGATCGGAAACGCGTCTTCCGAAAGATGGCAAAGCGGCCTTGCGCCGCAGCTGACGCGGGCCGCCAGCGCGGCCCGCCACATTGGAGACGAGGGCGCTTACGAGCGACCTTGCGCGGGCTGCTTACGCGCCGATGTCTGTGAAGACGACCCCGCTTGTCTGCGTCGCGCACCTGTTGGTGTCTCTGTCCACCAGCCGGCAGAGGGCGCCCTTCACGCCGCCGTAGTCGCGCTGCGCCGCGCCCGCGCAGGAGCCGCGCCGGAACGAGGCGTCCAGCTCGGCCTGGGAGCCGAGCACGCCGAGGACGGGTGCCAGCAGCCCTGCCGCCTCCGCGTCGCTGCTGGCCGCCCGCAGGCCCTCCGCGCACCGCTCCAGCTCCTCCACGCTCAGCGGCATCGCAGGCCTGCCGGGGTCCTCCTCGAGCGTGGGCCGCGCGGCATGCACGCGGCGCGCGTGCGCTGCCGCGCGAACCTCTGGCCCCTTGAGCCAGAGCGGTTCTGCCTGCGCGTGGCCTCGTCTTCGCTATGGTCCAGAGGGCAGAACAACCGCCACCAGTGTGAGCACCCTGCGG